TATGCGTGAATATAGAGCCTAGCATGTGATTGGTCGATAAAAGACCGACAAATTGGTTATGCCATAACGGTGCGCCGTGATGGATCAAGCATTTTTGTCCCAACAACAATCGTAGTTATAGTTTGAACATTTTAATTCGTGACCTCAGAAAAGCTTGGGTATTTGGAACTGTCGCATTCGTTGAAATAGGTTTTCGTTCGTTGAGAATATGCGCCTGTTTGCCATGCTGAGGAATAGGAGTTGAAGTTTGAGTTTGTTGCTGCTGACCGGTGGTTCTCTGTTCTATTTAGTGGTAGTGGCGAGGTCAGAGCAGTCCTACCGCGAAGCATTCGATATCGCAAATGACACAATGCATCCCACACATCCGATCCGGCTTGGGCTTGCACTCAATTTTTCGGTATTCTACTACGAGATACTGAATGCGTCAGAAAAGGCTTGTCGACTTGCTAAACAGGTGCGTGAAGACGGGTTCATTTTATATTATTGCCACTCGAATGGTTGGTTTATGTTTGTTTCAGCGGTGGCGGATGCGGGTCAGAGAGCCTACTCGGAGGCACTTGAGATTGCCAAGGCACAACTTTCGACTACCCATCCAGTTCGTTTGGGCCTCGCTCTAAATTATAGTGTCTTCTTCTACGAGATTTCATCGAGCCCCGATCGTGCATGTCAACTCGCCAAACAGGTGGGCAGGATCCTATAAAGTGCCGGTCGCCGAAACATTGAATGTTCCGATTTATTGTTCGGCCGACACTTGATAAATACATATTGCTGCTGCCGCCTGAGGCTCTCTTTGCTACCCTTACATTTAAATTATACTGTTGATTTCCCGTTACCTTTATATGCAGAAAATTGAGGACCGTAAAGTGGGGTTTTTTTTTCGGTGGAACAGTGCTTTATACAATGTAGTTACGGTCCGAAATGCTTCTGCTGAGCAGGTGGTTGCTAACTGATTAGCAATACTGCGTTAACAATTCATTAGCAATTCTTTAATTTAAAGAAAGCGGAAACCGAACCGTATTTCTTCAGGAATTTCGGTTTTGCATTCTGTTTGGGAGTTTGGACAGACAGTTCGTTGATTTGCTTATAGATCTCCGAAATCCACCGTCCTGGGTAGCACGGAAAAATTGAAGTGTTGAGGGCCTCAAAGCACGTAGAATAATCGCTTTTGCTTCCGAAAATGCATGTGTGGGTATGTGAATTAACATCAAGTTACAATAGGTTTTTGGTCTTTTCATTAAAAGTTATCTGCATATGCATTTCCAAATTGACACAGATCTAAGGTAGTCTATGGTAGTTAAATTCGAGGCACTTTGATGCTGGTTATTCCATTGGAGGGAGTGGCACTTATGTGCTTCAAGTTTAGTAGAATCATGTTAACTGTTCTGACTGGAACTGAAAAACAGAAAGACAATACGATTTGAAACATCTAGAAAAGTAGTGGCATAAATTCAATTTTACACGTCTTGTTAGTTCAACTATCATAGTGAGGAACGGGTTGGTAGACTTATCGACAAACATCAAATTACGTGTGCATGTTACACGAATAGTGTAGCGGTTTTTTTTCATCTTTCTGTATAATGTGTTTCGATGTCGCCGGGTAGAGTATTGGAAGATTCCATTGAGTGTGATTTGTAAGTGTGCGAGTGTTAACATCCATGCATGCGCTTTTTTCTCTTCGCTGCATTCTCTTTTCAATTTGTGGTGTTTCTCGGGACTTATTCATTGTTCTTATGGAGGGAATTCAATTAAACACATGTGCACAAAATTGGTAGTTGAGTAATGGGAATAGTTATTTTCCTGAATTGGACCAAATAACTAGAAGACATACTGAGCTCGGTTACCTTTTCACATTAAGGATGCTCCTCACAATGAAATGCTAATGGTGGTTTAGATGCTTTTAGCAATCTTCTTATAAATCTTGTATCGAAGGTTGTAGTGCATCTGTAATGTCTATATTATCATTAATTGGTGTTTCATTGTTTCCCTCTGCTTCATTTCTTCCCTCGATCTGTCAATCAGATACACTTGTGGGTATAAATTGATTTGTGCCACTTTGTCATCTGCTCGGAGTATCTAATTTGGAGATTTTATTCATTTGGAGCTCCTCTGTTCTCCCAATCTAAGTACAGTAAAATTCATTTTTTTTTCTTTTTTTTTTTGTTGCGAAGGTGTTTCAGTTTTACTGCAAGAGATATGCCCACATTCGTTACAATAACCCAATGATGTAAGTAGGTATCATTTCTTGCATTATATTTTCCTGAATTTTGTTTACAGGCATTTGACGATGCAATTGCTGAATTGGACACCCTAAATGAGGATTCCTACAAGGACAGTACATTAATCATGCAGCTCCTTCGTGACAACCTTACACTATGGACATCGGATGCTGGCGTGGACGATCAAGAAGGTAACGAGCAAACGGTAGTTGTGAAGGAAGAACAAAAACCGAATGAATGAATTAAGGCTGCGTTGCCGTCGCTGTCTTTTCCAAATGATCGTTTTTCGTGTTTTCCTTTTTTTCAACTTGTTTTTTTTTTCTTTGGTTTGATGAATAATTATAATTTCCTACTTGTTTTGCGTGAAACAATCAGTTTCATCCATTATGTGTTAAAAACATATGTATTTTCCCATCTACAGGTAACTACTGCTTTTTGTTGACAGGTCAAGACCCGTTATATGATGCACTGCGGTATTTTTGAGCTTTGTAGAACATTATGGTAGCATGCACTGTTTGAATGTTTTTTTGCTTAATGGCATAGAAAAGCAGGACTAGAAAAGAACTTTGGCAATCTGAAGATTAATTATTGCTCGAATATTCGTGTCACCCAGTTGTTTCTTTTTATTCTGAATAGCAATCAGAAATTGTAGCTTCATTCTTTTGCTTAAGTTCGTAATTACCCGCATATACTATGAATGTTTACATGAAATGAATTTGAATATATCCTTAATGTAAAATTTTATTGAAGGCAACACTAAAAGCGAACCATATTCTCGGTTTATGGATATCTTAATTGCTCGTTTTTTGTCAGTACTAATTTTCTCATTAAATTTTACATTTGGAATGAACCAATCTTAGCCTGTTTGTGACAGTTGTTTTTTGACGTTTATGGTGTAGCCTATTACGCTTTTGCTTCTGCTTCCAGTTTTCTTGGGGGATCTGTCGTTATTGAAGTAGAGTTATCACCTTTTGCACATTAATGGCTGTTTTTAATTGTCCTTATTTGTTCGTATAAATTTCAGGATGTTTACTTCGGAATATATCCACGGGAACTGGATACAATAGCGAGCTACGGTTATAGGAATAGTTTTCCTTTTATCAATTCGAGAGACGTATAACTATGTTTGGTTCTTATAGTTGTATGTAACATTCCCAATACGATATACTTTCAGATTCGATGCTAATAATATGCCTTTGGGTTAATTGACAGTGAGGATACTTAAGGAGGTTTCATTGACAGAAAGGAATTCATTTCAGTAAATTTCAATAGTCCATGTTTTAATTACTGATATGTTTGACCTGAAGTAAAAGATTATTGAAGAGTTTAATCAACCAGTTATTGTCGTATACAATGTGTAGATGGAAGTAGAGAGTCGACTATCAACGTTATCCTGTTTGGGACGTTTCAGTAAGTAATTCGGTTGTAAAAAGTTCTGTCAAAAAGGGGAAGTTGAGGTATCAAAGCGTCTGGGTGGAATATCAAGATGAGTTGATGTAAGGATTGCAAAAGGAAAAGATGACAATTTGTGTCAGTTAACACCTAACTATAATATTTAGAATTTGCATTTCCAAATATTATACTGCAGTATGCAAGAGAAAAGACGCAGTGACTGGTATGAAGAGAGATAGAACGTTGTGAATTGATCTGTATTCAAGTGGTACTAATGATCATACATTACTGGAAATTAATTTACGATATTGAGTAGAGTAAAGGCATTAATAAATTAATGCTTATCAACATGGCCGTATTGGTATTTTTACTTATCTACGTTGGTTTTGGGGTCTTTTTTCTTGTTTCACTGTGACATTTCTAAATGTGATACTTGGAAATTCTTATATTTATTTTTACCAAACCATTTACATCACAAAATTTCAACTGGAAGTAAAACTAATTTTTGTTTGGAATTACTGTCAAAGAAATCGAGGAAAATTTTTGTATGTTAACAGGTCATCCGATTAGGATTAATTTTTACGCTGTATAAAGGATTGTAAATATTCAAGTTTTTCACACATATATTTTATTCAGACTTTTTATTGGAATTATTAAATCTATGTTTTGTAGAATTTATCCAGTATGCAATTTGCCTCTACGGGGAATATCTAGTTTTTCTTTTCAGCTTTAAATTCTGATTAATTTATGGATTAATTTATAATCCGTCAAGAAGTTTACTGATAAGCAAATAGTAGTTCCTGTTTTGCTTATGAAATTTACGCGCAGTATTAGTGTGTTATTAATGTATTATCATACTTCTTACCAATATTTTTTTAAAAGTTGTTCTGGTAGTTCCTCCGGATTTTAAAGATTTTGCTGAGAAAATATCAGCAACGTTTATTATCTTGCACAAATATGGAATTGGTTAGGGATTCGATCACTGAAAAAAAACTTTTTGTAATATTTTTGTCTAAATCTTAACTTTATTTTCTCTCAAGACTAACTGTGAAATTGTACAAAATTTGATAGAACGAAATTGGTGTATCATCAGCAGGAACAAATGGTGCATTCATTCTGTTTCCAGTGATGATTTTTTATTTTAATACAAAACAAATTTTTTGGTTATTTCATCGAATAGTTTACTCGAATGAGCTTTGTAGTGGAAATTTTAGTGGATGATTACACATTTCTGAGTATTTCATTGTTAACTTGTTTCTTTTTTTCCTTTTTTTGTTGATTTTTTCTGTACATGAAAAGTTTCGTTGTTTATATTTGTCTTTTTTATTAGTTCTAAAATTGATTTTCCTGTTGTAGGTGTCGAGACAAGAGTAAGGCATCGATGATTCCAATATGTTATTGACATCCCAAACTCCGGTAGCTGAACCAACATTATTTGTTTGGCCGCATATTATCATCGCTGTGAGATTGTTAAATTTTATTTTGTTTCATTTAAATTCTTATGCTTGATCCTTGTTCATTACGTGAAGATTTCGGCAGTTGTTGAAAGAAACTTGGATATATTTCAGTTTACCATCCTATAAAACTTTTGTTGATTTTAGCTTTCTTCCCAAAATTAAGGTAAAAAATGAACAGTGAGTATTACTGACTCGCTATATCCGTGTTTTACACACATTTATCTTATATTTAATTCTAGATCTTTTCGGTAAGCACTATGGTTTCACTGCTAACACTCTGTATATCAACACACTGTTGCCGAAATACGAAAAAGTAAGCTTTTTTCCTTAATTTAATAGCAATTACACTCATACATATCCCAATTTACTTTACTATATTTTATGCTGTCGTTGCATATAAGATATGTTTAGTTTAATGAGTAATGTGATGTGGGTGGATCAATAGTATAATATATGATGTAGAGCAGTAATATTTTTGCTTTGTGAGATAAAATGTGATAAAGAATAAAGCAAGAGAATAGCGGAGTATGCATTTATATTTTTTTAATATTAGAGTGCAAGAAATAAAAAATCATATGTGTATATGTGAGAATTAAATATCACTGACTTTATTTAATTTTCTGCAACTAGTGTATTGGAATTTCAGGAAGGAAAATCCATATGGAGAAATTGCTACAACACCACCTGCTGATGTCGCTTTTTCAACAATTGTTTGTAGAAATAGAACTGATGGATCACAGCGTCATCATCCCAGTCGTCTTTCTTGTCCTAGCTTGGTTTGTTTCATCTAAGCGAAGATTTGTAATATTGACAATTTCATTTGTGAATTAATTATTAGCTAATTATTTAAGCATTACATATATCAGTGAATTTGACCCATGCAGAATTTATGCAAAGTTCATGTTGTCTCGATTCATTTTTTTATTTTTCAGGCCTCTTATGAGCGATCAGTTCATCGTCTTTCCGCACCAATTCCTCATTCTTCTGCTGCAGTGAAGCGAGCCTTACCAGAGTAACTTCTTTTTTCATGATTTGATGAATTTATTGGCCCAATAAGTTTCATAAATCAGTTTCATCTTTCTGTTCTATGTATCATTTCCTATCGATCGTTATATTTTAATTTCATCTAATGTTTTTCGTAGTATTACAGATTGAACCTAGTGCTTTATTTTTAGACTGTAAATAATTGAAAACTTCTCTGCAGAAAATATTCGGAAAAAATTTCTTGTCCCATTGCATTGCTGTTTTGTTGTTATTATTATAACTTTTAGATTGCCTGAACTATCGGCACGACTTGAAAATAAAAATGCAAGCGCATTATATTCAACAATGGGTCATTCAATGCCTGCAGTCGGTCGAAACGGTTCATTTTTGTATGGTGAAGGACCAGCAAACCCAACTTATGAATCTATTGATATGGATCCTTTATATTCAAAGGCTAATGTTTACTTTTATTTGACTTCAAAAAACAATATAATTATAAGTGCTACGTTTTTTTCTTATATCACATACGTTTTGGCTTGATGTTGTATAAATTTAAGTAGTAAGAAAGAGAGAAATTATTACGCTTAGTGGTCTTTGCAGTAAGTCTAAATGATCAAATTTAGGTCACTGAACTTCACTCATATTTTAAACTGCTGTTTGTGAATAGTGATGGATGATTCAATCACTTTAGCTGCAAATGTGATAGAAACAAAAAACATTTTAGTTAGGAAATGGTGGTCCATCCGTGAAACGATATGATTATCCTAGTTTTGCACCACAGAATCAAAATCAACCAATAGTCGCTACTGATGATGTACTTTATCAGAGTACTTCACAGATTTATGCAGGTGTTAGCGAAGATCCGTACAGGTTTGTGTAATTAATGTTTTATTATAATCAAAACTTTTTGATTTATTGAATATCCTCCAATAGTATAAGTTTGTTAATTAATTGTTTTTACTAGGAATAATAATTATTGGAAATTACTATCACTGCCGTTTGAATAACAGTTCAAAATAAAGGTGGTGGTCCATCCGTGCAACGATCTAATTATCCTACTTGACCCCTTTTTTGTTGAACAGGCTTCACATATGGCTGAGGAAATTTCGGAATTAGAAACAAATATCTTAGGAAAGGAAATATTATTTACTGTCTTTAACATTTGATTTTTTTAAATAACAGAAAACCAAGTTGAATGTATGACCTGGTTAGCTATTCATGTGTGTTTATAACTGAACAAAATCATTGAGAAATTAAAGTTTATATAAATTTTCCTGTTTTTTAGCTCAATAGCAAGTCACACAGGTGGCGAAATGAATTATGACGTTGGGTATAGCCATATAAGAGAAAGCATGAATACGGAACCGTCACGCTATTTTGCTAACTCGCAAGGACAAAATCGAGCTCTTGATCATCTTTATTCACGAGTAAGTTTTATATATCTTTATGTACAGCTTTAGGCATAATCATTTGACCACCATGAATTTCTCTTTTTTTTGCCTAATATTCTTACAATCTTTTTTATCCTAGAAAATCCGATGTTGTAACAAATGTTCGGCTGTCACTACATTAATTCTTGTGAAGTCTAAACTTTTATTATGTTGTCTTCTTAAAAATCACTTCTAAGGACATGCAATTTTGTTGGTTTTGTTTATAAAACTGCCTGGTCGTTCGATTTTTTCTAAAATTTTTCCTTCTAGTTTTTTTTACATTGAATCATCGGCTACCAAACAGCACAATATCATCACAATTTGTATAAATGTTTAGACATTTTGCTTCTGTGGGCCCATTCTAACTTTATTTTTCCCACGCTATATTGAAAGAGTTAGCACCAAAATTAATTAAAGTCATAAGATACTTTAGAAGTATTATCTTTGAATTGCTAGCTGAATGATTGTAAACACTTAATGTGTATAAAAGTTTTTAAGCGTATAAATAAGATTTGATAAATATGAATACATTTTAGATTCGACGAACATCCACATATCGACCCTTGCTCTCGAATGATTTCGCCGTCGAGTATGTTTCAAGTGGAAGTGACAAGGTGAGTATTGTTAAAAATTAAGGCAATTATTTCTTTCGTGAAAATTTTTACTTGAGTAGAACTTAAAATCTTACATTGATAATGAACATCTTAAGTCTTAAACAAGAAAACGTATTTTTCTGCTTTTATGTGGCTTTTACGAAACTAACTTGTAATTTAGTATATAATTTAGCTTATGAAAAAGGCGGTGGCAACAACATTTGGATGATTTTTCGGATTTTCTGATCAAAATTAACTGGATTTGAGTCTTATACTTTAGACAAGTCCATCATATCGTTACATAACGGTAAGAGAAAGTGTTGATGCTATTCGACAGCGGCTGAATGAGTTTAATGCACCTCAATCGATTAGAAATGATGGTTGTGGACCGATTCGAGAACATTATTATTCATCGATCGGTGGTAGTGATTATGAAACAGTTCAGTTTTTCTCCAAAAATGAATAATTTCCTTCTTAATGTTATTCGTATAACTTCGATATCTAGATAATTTGTTGTGAAATACATGGATTATAATCTGTTGGGATAGCAATCCTAATATCTTGACTGTAGACATCCCTTTTTTTGTTTTCTTGGTTGTTCATAATTCTGTTTGTAATTAACATTATTCTTAGTTGCAGTTACAAATCTCAGCAGCATCGCCTAATCAGCCATCATCCGATAGTCAAGATATCCCGTCAACGTCTTGTGTAATTCATGGTTTGTTATATCTTTAAACGTAGTTAAAAGAATTTTCTCTGAAATAAGGAATCAAATCATTTTCACAATGAATGAGGAAGGATTAGCTACTAAGATACAAAAAATCAGTTGTATTTTAAAGGCTTGAAGATAGTAATTTATTAATTTTGATTTCCGTAGGAACTCTTATTATCACTTGTCATATATAAATTTTTTGTTTAATAAATAAATGACTTTATTTTAGATATACTACCTGAAACTATGTCTGATGCTATTAGTACTTGTGAAAATATACCACCAAAACCACCCACTTCTCCAATACCTCTGCGTATCGCCACTGTAAGAGAAGACAATTTGCAAAAAAAGCGTCCATTATTATCAGGTATTTGAACTTATAGTCTTTTTTTTTCTTTTCTGTGAAGCTAGTTTTCTCGATAGGAGGGCTTGAAATACAGAAGTTTTAGTAAAAGAATTTTGCAAGTAAGGTAATGTAAACCGCCTCATTAGGCTGTTTGGTTTTTAATTTTGTCTTTGCTCTGTTTCAAAAAAAATAATGTTTGTTTCAGGCACTAATGATGACAGATGTAGTAATATTTCGGAAAAAATTCGCAGACTTAGAACGAGTTTTTTTGATCAAGAATTCAAGTTGTTAGATGATTTGAAAGGACCTTCATCAACTGATCTTCGATTTGAGCAGTTACTAGGAGCCACTAATCAACCTGAATCATCAAAATGGATTAATTCTTTTCAAAATAACCCAAATTTCGATTCGGAACACCATGTTGATCAAGCTTCATCAAGCAACTTTGATGACACCTATCAGCATTTGCCAAAATTAGCTACTGGCAGATCACAAACACATAATGCACGGAATGATACGTGGAATGCGCATCTTTCTACTGCAGAACACTGTAAAACTATTGTTCAGAATGAAAGGTCTCATAGCTCCAACAAAGCAGATGTCCCTGGAATAAAGCAGTCTGTCAAAGTTGTAACCTTTCAGCAAGGTAGTAGTTTATTCGTTCGGTACAACTGAAATTTATACATGACATTCATAGAATCGATTTTAGAAAGAAACAACGACGAAGAGCAGTGTTTCGTTTTTAAAAGACGCGACAGACTCAGTGAACAAACTACGAATAATACTAATAGTGCTTGCTTTGCAGAGGTATGCTCTAAAATTGCTCTTTTTTCTTTCAAATTTAATTGAAGGACTTTTCTATTTTTTCTTACTGTCTTTTTTGGTGATCTGTTTGTTTAAAAAAACTTTTTTTGAAGGATAATATCTTATGCAGTTTATCAATAATATTCTAATAAAGTGCATTATGCCATCTCTTAATGGCTGAATTTAAAAACTTTTGGTGTAGAATTTTTCAGTAGTGCGAGAAACCTGGTAAGTGTTACAAGCAGAGGGTGGATTACATTTTTTAATTGTATAGTATGGGTCATCAAGGATACTAATTATTATGTTGGTGGTTTTTTTATCACATATGATATTTTTAGACCGCGATGGAATACCACAAATAAGTCTATTCCCTTCGATGTTCAATCTTCTTTCGCAAATCAATTGATATCAGTAAATTAGGCGTCCAGATTTTCAGATCTTTAGCCAGCCTTGTTAATCAAAATTAAAGTTAGTATATTTTTCATCTGAGTATTAAATTTTTGTAGACATCTTTGAATAAAGCTTCAAACAATACTGGAGAAAATATGGAGATGCAGTTCTGTTCTCAACAACAAAGTGTGATGGATTTATCATGCGGAGAAAATGGTACTGAATTAATTCATAATGCTATAAGCTAGTGGTAACTAACTGATGTGAGAAATGTTTTTAGATTCGGGAGGTGATCGATCAGTGCAAACAGCCAGTCTTAGCTTCTCACATGAATCAATTAATGGAAATGGTTGGTTGTAAATTATCCTTTACAATAAAATAAGGACACAAAAAAATGTTTCGTGAACATACCAGATTATTCAGAATTTATCAGCAATATGTAGGACAGTACTATTTCCAAAATTTTCCTTTGGTAAAAATATCTTACTTGTTATTTTTTATCTCAGTTTATAGTTCTAAACAATGATGACAATGACAATAGAGTGTGAACTTTCAACACCGATCCATCTTATCGCTGATCTCATCCGGTAACATTTTTATTCTGTTATGTAAAAATTATTTAGGACTGTTAAGATTTTGTAATATTTTCTCTGTTTTGTTTGTAGGAAGAAGTTTTTATTCTATTCGTCAAAATTTCATAGGGCTCTCAAAAAAAAATAAAAAAATAAAAAAAATAAAAATAAATAAAATAAAATAAAAAATAAAAAAAAAATGTGAGCATGGAGATCCTCATTTATAATAGTGGCACTTTGTAATGTTTTTTTATTTTTTTTTTTCCACAGGTGAAGAAATACATTCATATAAGAGCGAAACGGACAGTAAATCATCAGATGCACCGGGAATAAGCCAGTACAATTTTCTGAATAGTCTTTTTGTTAGCTATTTTAACTTCTGTTATCTCTATTTATCCTTATTAAAATTTATGTAGTTTTACATGTTTGAGGAGTTTCAAGGTTCCTTTTCCATTAGGTGCTAATTTGCCTTCGCTTTTATATCTATGAAAATAAGTCTATGTTATGTAGTTTTTATTTCATATTTCATCTCCAACATTAAATGATAATTGACGAGAACACGGCTCTAAATGTGATAAGAACTTTTCGATTTGAAACAAATAATGTCTGAAATTTGAGCCCTAGAAATTAAATTGGGTTAATCGAGCTGTTAATATCGTAATTAATTTTGGACGCAGTGGTCTAATTTATTTTGTTGTGGTTTCTGTAATTTGTTAGACATCATTTTTTGAAAGAAATTTAGTTGCAAAATTTTATTTAACAAACTTTTGTTAAATAAAGGATGGCATAGTTCGAGGTACTAAACTCTGTTTTTGTTGTGATACTTAGTAAAATTTATGAAATTTATGTGAAGATGAATGTTGTGGCGAGAAGCTACGAACTGTTTGTTGTAAGCTCAAGGATTTTAGGGATACTGTGAACTAATGGTATTTCAAGTTTTTTTTTTTTTTTTTCTGCAAACCTAAAATCATTAAAAATTTGAAATTAATTTCATCATTACTTAGGTCTTTGGTCTCCTATGCATTATCTATTCGGGTGACTTTCACATATCATTTGTATTATTATTATTATTCCTCTTATATTGTTTCTCGCACTGGTTTTGTTCTTTGTTTTTCTCACTAATTAATAAAACTGTAAAGTCATTTAAGCTACTGCTATATTTTTGTAATATTGTAAATTCAGTTTTGAAGTGGTAATAAAATCATCTATATATTTTTAATTTTATGATTTGATTAAGCAAATATTGTGTAAGTTCTGAATTACCTGCATACTTTATTGCTTCGGCAAATGTATTAGGAACACTTTCAGAAGACTGAACAATTCAGTGTTAAATTAAGCTCTAATTTTTTTCGCAATTTTTTTTTTCAAACTTCCATATCTTGTACTATTTGAACTATTTGAAATTACTTAGATCGCCTATATCTCCATGATTAGTATCATCAATTTTTAGTATAATATTAAATATATCTAGTAAATAAAGTTCGGTTACTAATTGAAATTTAGAAATATGCTATTATAGAGTAATCTCAAAATAAATGTAAGTAAATGCTTTTGCTACTAGTTCTCTGAATAAAACTTTAAAGACTTAATATATGGTCGATAAAATTACATCTTATTATTAATATGATTAATAAAATTACATCCTATCATTAATTTGATTGGTAAGATTCATCCGATTTATAATAGTTCATTTTGTGAATTGTCACAAGACATCGTTAAGTTTAACCATCTAATGTAACGATATATTTTTGTTGGTATTCTTTCAAATTGATCTCTTTGTCAGAGAATTCGTATTGTTTGGGATTGAATAATACGAAAACTTATTATTTAAATTACATTATTCGTTCAATCGATAAGATTGCATAACAAATACTATTATTATCAACGAAACATATTTTCCAAATGATACAATAATATTTTTATTTCCAAAAGGAAAAAAAAAATTTAATTTCAAATATATTTTACAGGTGTATAATGTATACAATTCTTCATGAAACGGATGATTCAACCGCAGTGAATTTTAGTGAATGTGGAAAATTTTTTCCGGAGAAAGGTTTACAAATAGTTACCATTGGTGTTAAATATTTACGAATTTTTCGTGCTAATCCATATGCATTATTATTAAAAGATGAGCAACAATGGGCACAAACGACACGATTAGAATGTTTATTAGCTGTACGATTATTAGCACCGGTACAATCGTTTGCTATTGCAAGAATTTCACGTTAGCTTTTCTATTTCTATTTGTAAAAATTTATATTGTATTGACGCTTATAGTGAAAACAAAAAAGTATTTGAAATTGCTTAGCAAAAATTTAAAATTTCACATATTAATAATTTAGTGCATTTTTTTTTTTTTTTTTTTTGTTAGAGAAAGAAAGAGAAAAAATAAACATGATAAGTGATAAAAATTTCCGAGGAAAAAAAAGGATAAGAACTTCCTAAGAAAAAAAAAATACTAATAGTCTATGATGATGATTGCAGTTAATACTAAGATCGATTTAGATTGATTTTATAAAAGCTAACATTTCGAGTATTAAATTTCATATCCTTTTAATTCACACTAATTTCTTTATCAAATGAAACAAATCATTTGTAGAGAATCCAGATTGTGACAGTTTTCTACTTGGATTCGATGATGCAAAACTTTCTATTGTTGCCGTAAATCCAGCTGATCGGTGTTTGAAAACAATTTCATTGCACTGCTTCGAAGATGAGCTGTTGAAAGATGGATTCACTAAGAATTTACCTCGTCCAGTTATTCGTGTTGATCCAGGTCAACGATGTGCTTCCATGCTTGTTTTTGGGAGGTAATAATTTGTGACATGCTTTTCGAATATCATTTAAAAACATTTTCTTTCCTTTAGTTAAGAAGATTAATATATCTTATTGGTAACATTATACTTATTCCTTCCTCGTCAGTTAATAAAACTAAAGTTTGTGTTTCTTCCTTAATCCATATTCGTTCAAAAAAAATTAATTATATAATTAACGATGCATATTAACTTAATACTATAAAGTGGAATATTTATTTTAATATAACTGAAGTGTAAAATTTATTGGTATTTTCAGTCATTCTTATTTTAGTATTATACATTATGAAATCTTATTTCAAATGCTTCATTTGCTCATCATCGTTTCAGATACCTTGCTGTGTTACCATTCAATGACTCAAGTACCCAATTACATTCATATACAGTTCAACTTTCCCAAATTGATTCTCGTTTGGTTAATGTGGTTGATATGGTTTTTCTTGATGGTTACTACGAACCAACATTATTATTCCTTTATGAACCTGTTCAAACCACTTGTGGACGGTAATTTTTTAATTTCATCCTTATTTTACAACGATATTAATGTCAATAATTATTGTATTCTCAACGATATTAGATTAAGATAACAAGATAGAATGATGTTTCATTAATTATTTGATAGATTCCGAGTGTAGATTTTTTTTTTGAATCCATCATCTGATAATAGCATGTATATTGCAGTGCTTGTGTACGTTACGATACCATGTGTGTATTAGGTGTCTCATTAAATGTTAAAGAACAAGTTCTTGCTTCAGTATGGCAATTAACCAATCTACCGATGGATTGTAATCAAGTTGGTTTTTGAACTTTCAAATTTTTAAAATATTTTTTTCATTACTTAACTTAACCTTGTTTTTATTCATCTATTTGATGTCGATAGAAAATGAAACAAATTAGCACTCTTTTGTTAATTTTGTGACCTTCGTTTCTTTGTAAATTGTTGTCTTTCATGATCACTTGTGTTCTAAAATAAATGAATTTTTTTTCATTTTAATTAATTAGAAATATCTTTTTTTGCAACTTTGTTTTTTTATAGATTCTTGCAATTCCACGACCAGTTGGTGGAATTTTGCTAGTTGCTACAAATGAACTTATCTATTTGAATCAGTCTGTCCCTCCATGTGGTTAGTTATCTGTTCATCAGTCATATTCAAGTTTGATTCTGTCTATCTTATTTAAAATAAATTTTTTTATTAAGTTTTAAAATTAATGATGATTTTTGCATTTTGTGCAAATGCAGTGTCTATTTCCAACCTAAAGTGCTAGCTATAAATATTCGTTTTTCGACTCAGAATTACAATCAAGTTGTTTTGATTTCTTGAGGCTTTGGCTGTACTATCATTTTTACAGGTATATCGCTTAACAGTTGCATGGATGGTTTCACTAAATTTCCATTAAAAGACTTCAAGCATATGGCTCTAACACTGGACGGCGCTGTTGTGACTGTTGTTTCTACAAATAAGGTTTTCTCTCATAAACTCAAACTTTTCTGAAATTTCAAAAGTTCTCTTCCATAGATTCCTCTATTCTTAGAAGCTAAAATGCTTATAATTCATAAATCAGAATTATGGCGACCAATATTTTCAAATGTTGACAGCGCTTCGCAAATGCCTTTTCACTGTTTTCAGATTTTACTGTGCGATCGCAATGGACGATTGTTTACACTGATTTTAGTTACGGACGCAACAAATTCGGTCAAATCACTGGAGTTGAAGTTTCAGTTTGGTAAGTTAAGAAATGTTTTTCACCTTCTCTTTCTTGAAGGTTGGAAATCCGGGAAAAGGAGGTTGTCATAATTGGCTTTTTGAAGCAGTTTTCACTGATTCCCATACTTTAAGTAACATTATCTCTATTATTGTAATA